ACAGGGCTGGTGTCTCCCACAATGTTACTCTGTGATGCAAAGTGCTACACAGGGATGAGCCAAGGAAGTGGATGCTCTCCCTCTGCTGCCTCCCATGCTGGAGTCACCTCCTCCTGACAAGTCACCAGGGACGGATTCTGCTTTTCTGATGATGGGGAATGACTCAGTGGTGTGGGAATGCTCTAAGCCACGTGTCAGGGATCAGCTATGGCCATTTCCTGAAGGCCTAAGGAGGTGCTCCCCGTTGTCCAACATTTTTGGTTATTCATAAGTGATGTAGGTGGCTTTATTTATCTGGTGCTCCAAACACAGTGCAGAGCTGGTATTTGGGTTTGAGCAGCAGCCCAGAAATCCATCCACATTTCCATACACAGGGACTGAAAGGATAATGCCTTTGCCTTTCTGCTACCCTGTTGACAAGTTATCATCAGCAGAGCTGTCTCCAAGTCTGTATTGCAGAAATAATTTATCCTCTGTGGCAAAACCAGATATTGAATCAGAAATATGAGCCTTCTTCCAGATTATTCCAGGGTGAAGGCTTTGGTCATGTGTCTTGTGTAGCTTCTGTAGATCATTTGTAGGTTGACACAGATTGGTTCAGCATTAACCAGCATTAATCAGTAATTATGTAGCTGATTAGTTTCAGCTAAGCAGAAATGCAAAAGAGGTTGGGTCCACATTTGCCTGTGTAGTGCCAAAGAGTCTCACTTTTGACTTTCAAAGCAGGAGGAGATTTTTTAAAATCCTTCCAGAGCCCACCATTGTTGTTTATGAGACTACATAGACTCCAAAGGAAACTTACGGAAAAGCAAATATCCTCTTTGTTTTTAAATGTAACCAGCTGAAACAGATGAGTCCTTATGTCGTCTTTGGGGAAGGGATTGTGCCAGGTCTGTGTTTGGGAGCTGTTGGGCACGTCCAGGGGATTGTGCTCAGCGGCACTGAGTGCTCACAGCCTTGGTTTTGTTTGGAGAGCATGTGCAGACTGTGCAGAGTTCTTAATAAAAAACAAATCCCAGCACCATGGAACCAGACACAAGAAAGTCCTGGTAGTTTGGTCACAGGTCCCATGTAAGGTCATAACTGACCGTGGCAAAACAAACAAGCTCTTTGATGTTCTTCTGTATTACTTTAATTAATTACACACTGAGAAACCCAACTCATAACCTAGGTCTCTCCTGGGTTAGTAATTCCAAAAACTGCTTTGGCAGGATGATAAGTAGCTAGGATTTTTTGTTGTTCCTTTCCTTTCCTTTCCTTTCCTTTCCTTTCCTTTCCTTTCCTTTCCTTTCCTTTCCTTTCCTTTCCTTTCCTTTCCTTTCCTTTCCTTTCCTTTCCTTTCCTTTCCTTTCCTTTCCTTTCCTTTCCTTTCCTTTCCTTTCCTTTCCTTTCCTTTCCTTTCCTTTCCTTTCCTTTCCTTTCCTTTCCTTTCCTTTCCTTCCTTCCCTTCCCTTCCCTTCCCTTCCCTTCCCTTCCCTTCCCTTCCCTTCCCTTCCCTTCCCTTCCCTTCCCTTCCCTTCCCCTTTCCCTTCCCCTTCCCCTTCCCCTTCCCTTCCCCTTCCCTTCCCCTTCCCTTCCCCTTCCCTTCCCCTTCCCTTCCCCTTCCCTTCCCCTTCCCTTCCCCTTCCCTTCCCCTTCCCTTCCCCTTCCCTTCCCCTTCCCTTCCCCTTCCCTTCCCCTTCCCTTCCCCTTCCCTTCCCCTTCCCTTCCCCTTCCCTTCCCCTTCCCTTCCCCTTCCCTTCCCCTTCCCTTCCCCTTCCCTTCCCCTTCCCTTCCCCTTCCCTTCCCCTTCCCTTCCCCTTCCCTTCCCCTTCCCTTCCCCTTCCCTTCCCCTTCCCTTCCCCTTCCCTTCCCCTTCCCTTCCCCTTCCCTTCCCCTTCCCTTCCCCTTCCCTTCCCCTTCCCTTCCCCTTTCCCTTCCCTTTCCCTTCCCTTCCCTTCCCTTCCCTTTCCCTTTCCCTTCCCTTTCCCTTTCCCTTCCCTTTCCCTTTCCCTTTCCCTTCCCTTTCCCTTCCCTTCCCTTTCCCTTTCCTTTCCCTTTCCTTTCCCTTTTTTCATTTTTGAAGAAAAAATAAAAGGGTCTGGCATTTTCCCACCCACCCATCTTGGATTTAATTCAAAAGTGCTCTGTTCAGGATAATATTTTTGTCTTTGCCAAATGGGAAAATTTTGGATACCATTGTGGAATATGGGTGTGTTTGTCTCTTCCTTCTGCTGAGGACATGTCCAGTGTTTTTGTTAATGGTGTTCTTCCTGCTTTGGGCTTTTCTAGTAGCCTATTAACAATATACCACACAATATACTACTTAACAGTGTTAGTTATAGGCAGTATGTAAACAGATTTTTTTCTCAAAACTTCTGCCTCTGATACATGACAAAAGAAGTGTATTAAATGGGTCATAACTCCAAACCCATAGAGTGTGCAAACGATACACTTACTTACTTTGCAGCAGCAACTTTTGTGGTGTTATCCTACACGGCATTCCAGTGGCATTAGTGCAAGAAGGAAGAGGAATGGAAATTTCAGTTTTATTTGATTATATGATACGGGGAAAACTTGTGTGGCATTGCTGGTTTGAATTTAATAGCATGAGCTCAGCTGATGGGTTGTTTCATTGCTCTTCACTGACCTGTCCTGCAGCTGAGGACACAGGAGGTCTGAGCAGACATTTCCTCTGTTTCTCAGAAAAAGGAAAAGCATTTGCCAAGGACATCTGGACTCAGAAAAAAAATAATGTTTGTGAAGTTATCCTCTCTTTGGGAACAGCTTAGGTTTAAGTGGTTTGGATTTTGCAAGCCTTACTTTTAGTGGAGAAGGTAGCCCATGGTTGCCCAAGGTACCAGAGAGCTGGACAACCTGCAGGTCCTTATCAATTTCTGGAGACTGTGAGTGCACCTCATCAGCAAATTTTTTGCATTTTTCTGTTCTTTCCCATGCAGTGGTGGTTGGGTGCCCCTGGAATACTGTCTGCTCCAAAGGTCATGGGGGTGTTCTGGAGGGATGGGTGGTCACCAGGTGAACAGGTTGAAAATAAATAAATAAGTGCCTGGGGGGTGTATCAAATTCAGGTCACTGTGTGTGTGACAGGGAAGAGCACGGAAGGCAGAACGGACGGGAACAGATTTTGTTTAAATTTAGATGCAGTGTTGTGGTTGGAAAAGGCTGATGAGAACTTGGCACTTAACTCCTCACCTCGTACTTCTCCCCCCAGTAGGGTTGTCAGCCTCCAAACACAGCATTGCTGGTGCAGAGCCTGGGCAAACACCCTTTAAATAACCTCTTCCCTCCTGCAGACTGTTTTGCTGAGCTGTTCTGTTTCTTAGCATCCACAACAGTGGCCAACATTTAGCATGTGGAGGGATGAAAGTCCCACACCAGAAGCAGGTGGATGATGAACTGCTGAGAACCTCCCTGTCAAGCAACCACCATCTGCAATTTTGGGTATGTTCAATGATTCCCCTCCCACTCTGTGGTCCAGGTGAGAGATCTACCAGGTGAGACAGGTCCATCTCCCATCTCTTGAAGACAACTGCATCATGAGGCCACTCTGGAATGCATGGGAGCTGATCCCAGCTTCCTGTTCTCCTTGCTCTCTCCCAGTCCTCTCACTGCACAGGGCTGGTGGGATCTGGGCTTGTTGTTGACAGCTGTTTATCTCCTCAGCTCCACTTCCCATGCCAAGCCCCTCTGTTTGTCTTCTGGGATATGATGCCTCCAAGTATCCCCAGTGCAACCTTAGGTCAGGAAAAGCTGGCATGAAATTTTGGCATCTGATGACTCCAGGTCCCCCATGACCACCTCCTCTGTGCAGGTCTGTGAACTTTCTTAGCTCAGAGCAAGTAAGGGGGGGAATTCGAAACTGTGCTGCCATCAGCTTCCTGTCTGCAGGGAAATTGTGGATTCCCCCAAACTGGTATTTTGTCAGAAAGTTACAGGGGAAACATTACTTTCCCATAAACTAGGAGAATGCCATGTTCATCTGCATGCCAGGTAGAAGGGAAGCAAGCAAAGAGAAAAAACTTATTCCCTATCCATCCTTTCCATCCCAAAGGAAATAGTCCTCTGACTTTTCCTGTGCTGGCACATCCTAAGCACCAGTAAGGTAATTTTTCTTTCTAGCTATATCCTGAGTCTCTGGCTTTCCACAACAAAAATGCCAGTGCTGTCCCTGTCACCATCTGCAAACCTTCTTAACATGGCTGTTGTCCCCACTCATGGGATAGGGACAGGGCTATCCATTTTGTGTAGTCCTACAGAAAGCACATCAGCTCCAGTGGAAACGAGCAATGGATTTCACTGGAGAGGAGAGCTGCAGACTGTCGTCTCATCATGGCTGTTTTCCATGCTGCTATATTTGTTTTATTTTTGGTGACAGAATTAATGACCCCTCAAATGAGTATTTAAAGCTTCCTTTCTTTTTCAGTTTAATTGGAAAAATAAAGGTCTTTTCAGAAAGTTGTGTGCCCCTGTTTTCCGAAGTAACAACCTGGTTTTCATCCCTTGTCCTTCCAGGCTACATCCACTATGCCCAGTGTTTGTTTTCTGCCCCCAGTGTTCAATTGCAGAGTGTGTTAAGCACCCTGAAGAAAGAATCCTCACTTGTGTCTGTGCTGCTCAGTTCAGGTTATCAGGGCTTGCAATAGAGATGGACCTTGAAATGGACCTTGGATGTGTTGCTGGTATCTTTAGACCTTCTTCCAGGAAAGGAAGGAGAACACTTGGCCTCTCCTTTCTGTGCCAAGATGAAGTCAAAATGTGTGTGTGGGGGGAGAAAAATGAATAATTGCTTCTGGTCTGAAGTTTTTGGAAGCCTAATGCTGAAAATACGAAGATTTAGGATAGTGTTTTTGTTCACACTGTAATGGCCAGGAACTGTGTCCTCACTGAGGCTGCAGAACTGATTGCCAGTGAACTGTGCATTGTAGGAGCTGGGAGAGCTGGGGCTGTTACTGCACTCCCAGTTTTTAAGTCCCTTTCCCTCTCTTCCTCCCTAGAGATGAGCCCAGCTGCCTGTCTGGGCAGAAGACCTCTGTCAAAGCATGCTCACTGACAAATGAAAGCCCCCTGTGCTGAGATTATGAGGAGCTCTCTGGTCGTGGGAACCTTTAGACAAGGATATATGAGCCTCCCCCTCCTGGCCTGGCAGTGACCCCGGCTCCAATCCCAGTCCTGCAGCGTGACCACAATGGGGACAGCTCATGACTGCTCTTGGCCACGGACCCCAGGGCCCCAAAAGGTGAAAAGTGAGGACAGAGCTCTGGACGTGACCACACCTGATGGACATAAGGTGGGAAGAGCTGCTGGAGCATCCCCGTACAGTGACTTTTGAGGAGCAACATCACAGAGAAATGCCATGGCACGGTGGGGAATGGCACTGAGAGCTGCTGGCCATCAGGATGGAGTCTAAGGAAAGGTGAGCACCTTTCCAAAACAGAATGTGTTGCAGCTGCCTGTGGCACTGCCTTGAAGAAGTGATAGGTTATGTGTGTGGGGAGAAAAAACTATTGAAAATAATAGCATAATTGGCTGTCTGGCAGGCTCAGACTTCAGCAGAAGCTGTGATTATACTTGTCACTATCTGTTAACCTTCAAAACAGGTGCTGTGCATTTGAGGTGCCAAGTCAGTGCTCAGGCTGCAATCTGTGTGTGTGACAGGAGCATGGGCTGGAGGAAGGGCTGGGGGCCCTGCCAGATGGGCACAGGGGCAGAAAGGGGATGGTTCTGGGCAGGCAGAGCGTGTGACACAAATGGATTTGGCTGGCTTTGAAAGGGGAGCACATCCCAGCAGTGCTGGGACCCAGCAGGACGTGTCCATAGCTGATGGCAGACGTGCTTCAGTGGGGACCCTGGCAAAGGGGTTCTCTTTTCTAGACTGATTTAGTAGCTGAAGGGCTTGGGCTAGGGTCATTAAAGTTCCCAGATTACTGAAATCTGTAATAGCTGGAGGAACCTTGACTCCTGCCATAGTTTTGAATTTTTACTTGGTTTTAGGAATTAGAACTATAATGCTTTGTTGCACTCTTGCTCCAGCTCAGTGTCTTGCTTGAATATGTTCATTCTTGTAAAAGCCATAAAAACTGTTAATATTTTGTGTTTAATATTTTTTAGTAAACAAATTAAAATGTTTCAATGAAACAAAAGAAAAAAGAAAGATAAGTGGGTTACTTTTTCTTCTAGGGAATATTTTCATTATAAACCTCATTATGACAAGTGTGTTGGGGTCTTGCAAGGCTGCATTGCTAAGTAAGTCAACAAGCATTGTAATGCTTGGCATGTGTGGAAGGTAAGTGAGCAACATTATATGGGAAGATTAGGTAGGGCTCTGTAGAATACCTAAAGAATTTGAAATACAAGACTTTGAAGAAAAATGTTGGGAATGAAGATCAGGGGATTGTAAGGTGCTAGTCACTGGCATTTGGCATGGCTTGCAAAGCAAAAAGACTGTCAGCACACTTAAAAATCACCTAATCTTGTCTAACTTAATGTAATTAACTCAAGCTCAATCAGATGAAAATATGCTGATACCACACGTATGAGCAAGATAACTTTGTGTCTGAGTTCCACCATGAGAGTCTTTTTAAAGCAATCCATGTCAGGTTATCTGAGTGCTTTAAAAATTACACCTGTATCATGCCCTTGTCCCAAATAAGAACAACTCAGAAACATTCTCATGTGAATGTGTGTGACAGTCTTCAAGCAGAAATAGCTGATTGTTGATATAACAACAAGTTTACTCTAATTGTTGATGAAACTCCAGAGCTGGTATTTTTTATTCCTCCTACTGTTTATTAAACATCTGTGGGTTTGGGTGTGAAGTCAGCAGGTGTGGAAAATCTGTTTCTACCATCAGAGCTGGTGCTGTGGGGCACTGTCTTAGTTTGGGGTTTTATTTTATTCTGTATTTGGAATATTGCAAATCATAATGCAATAACCGAGTACCCATAAACAGTCTCCTGGCAGCTTATCTTGATGATCAGAGATGTGGTGCAAATGTGCCTCCTTCCCTCAGGTGCTCTCATGCACCTCCCACCCTGCTCCTGAAAGTGGGAGAGTTCACACTGAAAGTTATGATAGCTCAGGTTCTGGCCTGAGCAAAAGCTGCTGTCATTTCCAAGTTCTCTGCTGCAGGACAGGGGTGGCTGTGCTTCATTTCTCCCAGGAGCACACTCTTGGTGCAAGGGATTTGCAACCCCCGCAAGCCTGGCTCCCATGCTGTTATTTCCCAGCTGAAGGTGGAATGGCACACACAGCATTTGGGAGAAGGATGCACTTTTCCTTCCTTGAAGAGAGTCAACATCTAGAATTAAGGAGGAATGAATTCTCATAGAGAGCCAAAAGCAGACTGGTATCAATGCAAAATTTTGTTTTTACTAATTCTTGTGCTTGCAAAAAGCTTGGTGTAGCTGCCCCTCTGAGACATCAAGATTTGAGAGGACAGAGCTGTGAAGCAGAGGAGTTTATAAAAGCTGAGGAACTATGGGGTCTTTAAAAGAAAGTGGAGAGCAATGCCTTCTCTATGGCCCTACAGAGAAATTTTATTAAAGAGAAACATAGATTGAAGTGTTGCCTTGGAAAGGAGAGCTCTGTTGTCCTGCAGCAAAACATTGGATCAATTTCTCTGAAAAAAAAATTAGATGTTAAAGGGACTTGTGTGGAATTTAACCTGCTGATGAGAGTGAGTGCTTTCTACAGGAAAATAGCCCTCAGACTGTGTTGATTCAATTTCCACTGACCACAATGGAAATTTAGGCACTTTGCTGTGGTCCCGTGTCCTAATCTTGGATCTCAATCCCACCCCTCAAGTCACAAACAGTTTTAAAGCAGATGTGATGGTTCAGAGCTCGAAAGTGAGTTTCATCTCCATATGGCAAAGGGGCTGTTGGGGAAGGCAGAAACCGTGGCACGAAGCGATCGGCAGCTCGAGCCACGGAACTCCCTGAACTCCATTGCTCGCTCCATCTGGGACTGGGGATTATTTCAGAAAGTTCAGGACAAAAAGGGAATTTATCTCTTCACCTCCAGGAATTGATATGCCTTATTTCAGCAAAGAAATGACAGATTTAAAAGAAGAAAAAAAAAAAAAAAAAAAAAAAGGAAGCATTTTAGTTATTTTTGGAGACCATGCTTCATGCCTGTTTCTGACTTGGGTGGAAATTAGATGGAATTGACTGTTTCTCTTCCACTTCTTTCACAAATTCTTTATTTCTTTATATCAGAAAGTAATTACTGAAGCCTATGTAACAATAGAGAGAAGAGTATTTGTATCAGCTATGGATGTCTACAGGTGTTTTGGATTGCACTGCCTTAAACTATTCTTAAAACAGGATACTGACAAAAAACTATTACATTATCACCACAACTAAATAAAAATTTTACTGATTACAGCTGGTAATTTTAAATTTAAAATTAGGTCAAATTGTACAAGCACTAATTAGGACCTCCTTCATCCTTCTGAGATTGATAACAAATATTTTTCAAAGAAAGTAAGTCCGTATTTTGTGTCACATTTTTCTAAACCCCAGATATTTCTGATGTGGTGAATATGTGGAATATTTCCCATCTTTTCTGGAGATGAGAACAAGTGAAATCAACAGGTCTTATCTGTCTGTGTCTTTGGCAGTGATTATAACAGCAACTTTTAGAAGCTCTGTTTTCCATAAATTGCAAAATATTTAGAATACCTCCTTGAAATCTTTAGTAGTTAAGTCTTGTAAAAATGTTCTGTTATTGCAACCCCTGGTGAGTGCCAGGATGACAGAGTTATACTTATTTGATAATTTCCTTCACCCTGTCCAAACATTGCAATAGTATTTGCTTTCTCTCATGTTTCTGCCACTGCTGGGCCTGAGTTACTAAAAGCAGCATCCAGAGGAACTTTCTAACCTGCGCTTTTAGTAGTCCTGGTGCCACGTATCTTGTTGTTAAAAAGTTACTTTAGTAGTGACTGTTTTCCTTCCATTTTGATCATGGCCTGAGTAGGAAATATTCATTCTTTTCTTATGGTATGAACATGTCCTGGTTTATTCCTGGGAAGAGAAAGAATACATTTGTTAAACACTTCTGATTTTCTGCATTATTACTGACTACTCTGGTGCTCTTACTACTCATGGGCTTTCAGTATTAGTAGGGTTACTCTTGGACCCAATGGACTCAAACATCTGCTCCTTACTGTCTATTTTTTTTTTTTTGTCCATATATTTCCTTGCATCCATATTTCCTTGCATCTCTTTTCTTCCTTATTAATTTTGTATAGCTCCAGGATGTATTTTCAGTGTTTACAACATCTTTCTTATAAACATCCATCCATTATTATTGCTTATTTTGCATCCTTTTCTAGTCTAGATTTTTGGAAACGTGCTTGCTTCCTTACCTACAGTTTTAGTCTCGTTTTGTTGTTGTTATTTTGTTATTTTTACATCTAGCTAAATAATTTTAAACTATTCATTGCATGCATCACATTTAGTCTTCAGTTCTTCCTTACAACTGGCTTGTACTTATTTCAGCTTTGTGAACCTGGTTGTGTTGAATACCATGTGTTTTTAACTGACTCAGACAGGGATCCAACGTAATCATTTCCACCTTAGTTACTGTTAGCTTTTATTTCTTGGTTAGAAAATTGTCATCCATGATTTGTAGAAATTCCAGAGGAGTTACTACTGCCAGCAGGAGATTTTGATATATACCATCCTGAGTCAATTTTCCCATGACAGTCCTGCACCCATGGTAGATAAATGGCTTTGGAGCTGCCCCACCTAATTTTGAGGGTGGTTTAGCATTGAGGCAGGCAGCCATTATAACCTCATTTTGTGCTTTACCCATCTGGACATGATCGACAAGCAGTCAAAATCATTTGCTCCTGAGCTATCACTGCTACAGAAGAAATTAATGCCAGCCTTGTCCTCTTTTGCACACCTGATGCTGCTCTGGAAGGTTACAATCACTGACTCTACTCACTCAAAAAAGCAGATAATTTCACTTGGTGTCATTAGCAGGAATTAAAAATAACAGTTTGACAAAGAATTTTGGGAAATAATTCACAAATGTTGATGAGCATTTTAAATTGTTCTTCCAAGGTTGTACTTTTGCATATGAAACCTTTGTTTCTCCACCTTCTCACTAACTTTAGTTATAACACCTATAAAATTCTATATCTTTTAATGAAAGTTTTGTTTGAAAAGTTGTGAATAAGGGAGATATAAGTCAATTGCTTTCACAAGGCTTCTTTCTGAACCGGGCTCTTAAAACATGGCAAGGATGGAAGCAGTGATAACTTCAGAGGTGAGTTCTAGGTGCTGTGATGGTTGTTCTCATCAGCAAAGGCAAGAAGAAACTCTGAAATCAGAAAAAACTGAAGAAATTAAAGTGATCCAGAACAGGATCCTTTTGCATTCTGCTTTTGCTTATTGGTAAGTCCAGGCTCTCACCACCTCTTTGGGTTCAGCAGACCACACATGGAAGAATTCACATTAGTGTCATTTTTCAGCATCTGAAACTGCTGGTGCAGAAAGGGGACACAGGAGAGGGGTGACATCTCTGGGAGCAGGAGGCCCCATGGAGACACTGCTGTCCTCAAGGTGGTAACTTTCAAGCCCCATGCTCAGGGGCTAAATGTTACTGAAAGACAAATATTGACTACTGACAGAGTTTGGAGAAATTCATGTGGGTATTTCCAAGAGTTTATGAATTAACCAGAAATGGAGATAAGTCCTATGCTATCTATTTCATCAGCTAAGAAACTGTTGACTGAAGCCTAGTGTGAGCCAAGTACCTACATGAACTGTGTTTCAAAGAAGTAATCATATCTTCAGATGTGGAGCTTGCTAGTTAGTTTAATTACTGTCCTTTTTTTCTTTTTTTTTCTTTCAGTAGCTGAATGGATCCGATGACTATTTTTTTTTTATAGATGAAAGAGAAGCAAGCTTCAAAACAGATAATGAATTTCTTCTAACTCGTCTGGAGACTGAAGAGCCATAATTCTGATTGATCAGATATGGTCTGCTTCAGAGAGGCACCAGATGTGGTCCAGATTTTAAATAGATGCTGCTACTGTCAAAATGCATTCGCTCCCTCCTGGTGTAACAAAGTGAAGTCCATCTGTCTGGAGTTGTGCACTTATTTTAGTGGTAATAACAGTTAACATCAACAATAAGCTTTGTCTCATTAGTATCACATAATCCCTACTACCAAGTCCTCAGATTCTGGTCTCCATATTATCTGCCATGGAAAAAATAAAGACCACAGCAGGAGCTAAGAAGGTCAGTGCATTCTCAGGGTAATCAGCTGTAGTAAATTCAATTCTGACAAGACAAGGCTTGCAAATGTCTGGGGAATTAAGGGATCATCTATAATTTCATATGTTGAGTGGGAAAGTGTCCTTCCAAGCATTTATTAATTACAGATGAGGGTGTGTATGGTGATCATCCTTGGAGAAATTTCTGCTGAAGCAAAGCAAGAAAAACAGATTTAACTGTTTGCTGATATTTCTAAAGCAAAACTACTGATCTTCTCACTTGGCCTTGCAATGGTTTCAGTCAGTATTCTTTCTCTCCCAATGTTTATTTCTCTGTCTTAGCAACAGATGTCTGTCACCCCTTATGAAACCTTTTGCATAAAGGGCTCCTACTGCACCCAATGGAGGAAGTTGCCTTGGCTTTAGTCTGGCTCAGTGCCCTCACTCCAGGGTTTGCACTGCTTAAGAAGTAACAAGTAAAGAACAACAGACTAAAGAGCTCCACATTTAGAACGGAACTTTTCACTTGAAGATCTTGGAGCACTTTGGAAAACTTAATTTACTCCCCTTTGAGGTCGGTGTTGTTCTTCCTGTTTTGCAGATGAGGAACTTAAAGCACAGGGATGTCAGTAGCTAACATTTTCCAACTTGGGCAACTGAAGGTAAGTGCTTACATCCACACCTTCCTTCCTCAAGAGGAAGTCCTCAACACTTTTACACTCTTTCTGCATCTGTTTTTTGAAAGTGTTGGCTATATCTTAGCCAAGAGCTCCCCAAAAGTCACCAGAATTGCTGAAAAGGCCATTAAATTGTACTAAAAATAAGAGCTGTAAAGTGTGTAGCTCATTTCCATTAGTGCAACCAAGACTGAGGAGGAGCAATGTAAACAAAATGCATCAGGGTCTAAATATCCAGGGAGGAAAAAAACTTTTTAAGTAAAAAAAATAAACTTGCCATGAGAACAGATAGATCTCAGTTAAACACGAAGCATGTGTTTAAGCATGGATTGAAAATTAGGAGATTTGTAATAATCAGAGGAGTGAGGACAAATGGGGAGGATAATGTCACTCAGGTTGAGATGAAGTTGAATCAGAATCTAAGAGAGAAGAAGGGATTCTGTACCAGCATTTCCAAGGGACTGGACTTGATGGTTCAGCATGTGTTTCCATGTTGTGCTCACAGTATTGCAAACCAGGTTCTTAACCCACACATAAACTCCAGGACAAAACAGTCTTCCTCCTTGCAGGGGCCCCTGGGTGCTTCTTCTTTAGGATTTAGGTCATTTGGGTAAGAAAATGCTATTGGTGCCACAGGAAAAAAATGAGTACCTGGTGACATCAGATACCCCTCTCCCTTCAGACCTGTAGTGCCTCGTATGCCAGATTGCAGCTATTGTATGAAGAATTTTCAGTTCCTTTTTGTGCCTGGAGGCTGATTGAAAGTTCATATTATTTATGGCAGAAAACAGCAGTGTACTTTTGAGCCTGAGGAAGCTGGGAAAGTGCAGTGGGTGTCAATCAATTAAGCTATTCAACTTATTTATGAAACAGGACAAAACAATGTCTAGGATATGAATTCCCATCTCAATGGGATCCCCCCTGATATAAAATGTCAGAGCTGAAAAAGGGTCAGCTCATGACCCTTGAATATTCTTTTAAACTATTTGCAAATCAATACCTCTTCTCTGGGTTTGTGCAGGGACCATCATTCCCTTTTATTATAAGTCACAGGGCATAGACTGCTTATCAGGGAGTGTGGAGACAGATCACTGCACTAAAGCAGCAGCTGGCTTTGGAGACTGGGCCTGACTCTCATTTCTGGGGGGGTTCACTGCACTCTACTCTTGAAGAGCAAAAGATTTTAAAGTGAGCATAATTATGGGTTTTGCTGACTCTCAGGTTCCTTAATATCTGCTGGAAAAACAAAGAAGTCCTTTGCCATGCATGTAGTTGGGAGTTGGACTTGTCTCCCTCTTACTAATGCCTCTATCAGCCAGGATGGAGGCCATCTGCCATTTTCTCTTCCAATTTTTTTTGTGTCAGGAGTCTGCTGTGTCCCTGGGTTTTGGAGCTGCAGTCCCAAATTGTCACCTTCTCTTTCTTAGCAATAACCTGCTGTACAGGTAGGGCTTGAATGGACAGATGGCCTGATCCTCAGCTGAGCATCTGGCCTATTAAGCTCTCTAAAAAAGCATCATCTTTACAAATCCCAGTCTTAATCTCATTGCCCACTGTGTGACCCATGGGGGTTTCAGATCAGTGCCAAAGAGAGGAAGAGGAAGAGAAGGAGGGCAGCTGGAGGATCCATGGAGTCAGGGGAAGGGAGGTGCCTGCAGGGCAGGTCTCTGACCATTTCTCACCATGAGGAGCCGGAGAAGGTCAACAGTCCTGGCTACCTCGAGCTCTCCTGCAAGGAGGATGTGCACAAACTGAATCCTTGAAAGAGTGGTCCTGGCTTTTGGATAGGTTTGTCCAAGGGACCTCCCACTGAATCTTCTCATGGCATCTTCTTTATCCATGCAAAAACACGGCATCATCCCAGTGCCTTTCAGCAGCACTTGGGCCAGCTCAAGCTGAGACAGGTGAACTGAGGATAGAACAACAGAGGGAATGCCCACTTGCCTGCTGAGGTTTATCAATGAGAGCTTTTTGCCAAAGGGAGATGAAGAAGACAGCAATTTGCAAGGAAGGGGGTTGTTCATGCCAATGCTCCCATCTCCTAACAGCGTGCCGTTCCTCGTGGGTTGTCAGTGTACTCAGCTTTTGTCTAGAAGGCCAGCAGTGGGGTATATCCTGTGAAAAAGGGGCTCTTCCCTTCACTTTCCCTGTTAAAGAACAAACCTTGAGGTAAAAATTTGATAGTGTTAATAGCATGTGGAAAAGGGAAAAATTTCCAAGTTGAACTTGCATAGCACTGAGAGACATGAAATTGGTCAGCTATGGACTGGTTTTGAGGTAGATCAGATCCAAATAGAAAATAATTTAGAGCAGATTTGGATCCTATTCTATTAAAGACATTATATTTACTATTTGAGTTCCCTGAGATTTTCTCCTCGAAAAATTCAGAATGAATTCCTTAAAAAAGGAGTAGCCACAAATGCATTCAGTGCTTTATGGTAACTAAGCATAGAGATGGTACCCTTCTGTTTTTCAAATCTAAAATATTTTAATGTATTTTTGAAAGATCAACATAGCAATCTCTTTTTAAAATTCAACCCATTTTAACACCTGAAAAAGTGAGTAATCTTGATATTTTGAGTTTGTGCTGCTGGAAAAAATGTATCAGTGAAAGTCCCCCCTACATCTGTAAAAGAAAATTTGGACACTACTTCATCTGCAGCTTTGTTTGCAGTAATTCTGGTTCCGGCTTGTAATGATGGATGGTAGGAAAAGTGAAACAAAAGCCTCCAAAGATTCTGAATCTCTTGTTGTTTGGATTTTTTTAAACAGGATTTTCCTTTAATTAGTGAATCTTGGAGAAATCCATATTCACTTGGGTCTAAAACATGCAGTAAAATCCTACATCAACCCAAAAGGGCCAAAAGGAAAATTAACTTCTAAACATGAGCAGGCATGTAATACAAGTTTTTTCCCATTTATTGCAGACAGCCACTCTTCAAATTTAAGTCAATCATTCTGAATTTTTGTTTCAGACTTTCATCTAGACACGCTATTTTTGAACATTCTTAACATTAAATGCATACAGAGTTCTCTAAAATAATATTCAAAAGGACAATTCACAGATACAGCTTAACTCTGATATGCCTAGGAAGGTGATATAAGCATATTTTCCCCAAATAATCAATGAAAATTGTTCATGATCAAAATAAGAAACAAGCAGTTCATTACCTATTAATTCACAATTAAGATAAAGAAAGCAAGTCCAAGAATAAGAAAGAAATATCTATGTTCTATTTATAGGCATGTAAGCAATATCTGTAATATGACATTGACTGGAAAACTTTCTGGAGAGTTCTTTCATTGAAAAGTGAAACAAAATTGGGTGAAAGCATCTCAAAAACTGGAATATAAATACAGAAAAGGAAATTTCCAGTCAGCCCAAGTTTTGTTATTAATAGACTCTTGCCACACAATACTTCTTAGAAATAGATTAGGAGTTGAAAGTTCACCATGATGTAGCTATAATAAAAAAAAAAAAAGGCAAAAAAAAGAGCTGATGAATCGCAGTTGTTTCCATCTAAATAAAGAGTAACTAACCAAGGAACCATCTGTCGGTGTATGATTACCAACATTCTTTTTGTCTTTCAAAGCAGCCTGAGAAATCAAGGGCACTGGGAGTAGAAGGGAGAGCACACACACGCTGCAGGCTTGCCAGCAGCCAGCCCAGAGGGTCTGATGTGATCCTGGCCTTTTTCTCTGGGTGCACTGATTTCACACTGCTGGTTTTCATCTGGCATGCCTCTGTATTTCAAATGCACGCTACACACTGACAGCGCTTTTCTGCAGTAAATGTGGGTAATTTTGGTGTCATTGAGAGCTGAAAAGTAAAACTTTTCTAAGAGATGAAAACCTCAAAGTCCCCTCTCTCAGTTGTTAAACCAACAGAATAATATTAGTTAATTTTCCCCCTGTTATTTAACAGCAAAAAGCCTCAGTTACCCTGAAAAAGCATATCCTTAATGGTTTTCTTAAGCCTGAATGCCCTACTAGCAGTAAGAAAGACAAAGCAATAAGATCTAAGGCCTTTTAGTCTCTAAAAACTGTGTAGGTTTTCATGCTGGAAAAATGAGGGATTTATTCCTTTTTTTTTTGGGTCACATGAATTCAGGGTCAATGTACAATTTCTCATTTTGTTTCTATTCCAGTGACCACCTCTTTTGGGGTGCTTTATTCCCCCAAACCCCATCTGACTCTGATCAAACTCGCCGCATCTGGCTCTTTGTTGCTTTGCAGGCATTGCAACCACAGACCCACAGCCCACACAAAACCCAGCACCCACAAACCACCCTTCCTTTGTGAAGGAAGAGAGATGGACACCAACAGATTTACCAGTGAAAGCCTGCTTCCATCCCACCCCAAATAAATTTTTTTATGTTATATTTTTACAAATCCCCTGCCCATGGCTCCATGCCTTGCCCTCCCTCAACGCTTCCAGCCGTTCTCACACCCCAGGTACCCTTGCCTCAGGCTCAGCCCACTCAGCTTCTCTCCCTGCTGCATTTCCCCTTGTCCCCTGCCCTTAATCCACGCCTCCCACCTCTGACCCAGTGGCTGGGAGCAGGTGGAAAGGCAGGTGATAATACAAATATTTATGTCAGGAAGTCTGTGCTTGGAAATGTTTCCTGGTGGAGTTGTCACACTTAGAAAAAAATTATAACAAAAATAAATCCAATTCCAAAATACCTGTACAAATGCACAGAGAGGCATATCTCCTTTGCATGGCCACCAAAACAAACAGTGACTCTGAGTAATCAATAGTAAACCTCAGGAGCATGAAATTCAACAGACCTAAAATTGCCAGGATCAGCTACTCAGTGAATTTCTACAATAGGAAGCCAGGCAGCAATTACTATCCTACAACTACACAAGCAAAGCAACCATTTAAATGTACATCTTGTTGGCTCAATATGTTGGTTTCTGATTGTTGTCAAGTGTAAATGGGAACACTCCTACCAAAATTTCTATTTATTTACATAATATACTGAGTTACACGTTAGTGTTGCACCAGCCAGATCAGCATCTAGGTGCCAGTGAATATCCTATGGCCACAGATTTAAGCAAGTAAAACAATTTACAAGGAGCTCTAAGAAGCACCATCCCACTGCCTGCCTGGAAAATCCTTCAGACTCATTAAGCAGTCAGCAAATAAGACACATTTGTCTCCCATTAAAGAGTAAATTGGAAATACTGAAAGGAAACCTATGCACGGCTGTGATTTGTTAGAGAGTGTATTAGCAGGAGCAGCCACAGTGTGTTTAGCAGTTGGGCATGAGTTAAAGCAGGAATTGGAGTGAGAGGAACTATTTTAAATTGTCTCTATTAATAATCTGAAAGTACATTTAAAGCCATCAGCAGTCACAGCCATCTTTGACTCTTCCAAGAGGAAGTTGCCATTTGTTGCAGAGCCACTGTTGCTTTTATTTGACACTCAATATGTGTTTTCCCCACAGTATTAGATATCTTGGGCTCTATCCAGGATACATTTGGAAAGGAACTGATCCCTGTAGTTCCTACGCAACGATGAGATTTACTACTGAGGTCGATATGTATCTTTAGTGAGTCAAATAAACATAAGGAACATTAATTAGGGCTGCTTGCTGAATTTAGATTGCATTCACACAGCCTGATAGGGTAGCTGGTGGGGCCAGGCTGGTTCAGCCAAGGTCTCACTGGGTGAGACAGGCAGCAACCAGGGCCTGGATCAGCTGTGGGCTGAAAAATACCCAGCCCTGCTGGTCTCCCCCCAGGCTGAAGGCTGACTTTGGGAAACTCCTTGGAGTTTGTCTGAATTAAGGAATTAAAGCATAAACCCCAAACCTTTTCTGTATAAAGAGAGATTTGAGATCATTTAGGGACATGTCAGCAGTAGAGTGGTGCTGTGATATTAAAACTGGTGCTTCAACACACCACAGTGCTCAGCCACATATGTGATAAGTGAGTGTTATAAAAATTCACCTTTAAAATATTTTTGAATTAGATTTTCATCTAGGAAGGCTGGAAGAGGGGTCCATGAGTGTTGTTGATTTCTGTTCTCAGCCCTGCATTAACTGTGGTCTCTAATGACAGACACAGGGCTCTCTGGAGCTATTTGCCTCCAGGTGCCCTGAAAGAGAACACCCTGATTCAGAAATCACAACAGCTTTCCCTTCCCTCAGCTTCTGAGTCCTGAGTCCTTGCAATCTCAGAGAGGAAATGTTTTGAGGAGGCACTTCCCAAAGAACATGCATGGCCAGTACAGCCAGTGTGTATCAATGCAATTACAAGCACTTTTTAAATTATTGGACACCTTGTATTGGGGAGGAAAGCTACCTAGAGAGTCTTAGTAGAGTCACTGTAGTTTACATCAAACCCAAACTGGACAGAGGAAATCTTTGGTGTCCTTCCTAGAGGGCTGTAATCCTGCTAGGATTTTTTTTTTTTTTTAGTGTCCTGCTTGTACTAGGGCTGTGATCAGTTCTTTATCTGCTTGTTTTTAATGTTTTTTAATTATTCCCTTTCCAGTGTTTCCAAGGGCCACCCCCGCTGAGGTTGCATGAAAGGGCCCTAAGGCATTTCAGCTGCTGCTGGGTAACACAGAACGCTGCAGGGACTTCAGTGTGGGAGCTGCTGAGCACTGAGGAGGGAACAGGTAAGGCTACAACCCCCTCATGTCTTCAGCAAGTCAAATATGGGTGAGACTCTCTTGCTCCAACATCCCCCTTCTGCAGCACACACTGACTGAACACATACAAAGCTCCCAGTACTGTTTATCTGTACCATGGGGCTTTCTATGTCAGATGATTTTGCCAGAGCAGATATCTATTTTAACGTTTTAAACATTATTTTTTACAGCCTCACTTCTGCCAGCGCTGTGTTAACTCCCTGCAGACTTTACAGAGGTGGCTCTGGGAAGTGTTGGTTCCTGTGTGAGTGGGGAGGAGTGGAGCAAGGCAGATCTGCATCCTTTTAACTTTGCTGCAGAGGATCTGCACAGGCAAATGCTCATCTCTGCTGCAGAAGAGAGCCAAGTATCTAGCTGACATTAAGGCATCCATCAGACATGAAAACTGGAGGGCAAATGTGGCTTTTCATCATTGAATGGGGGCAGAGACTTTTTTGTAATGCCTTGATCACCTCTCTCTGGATGCTCCCTTGTCCTTTGCTGGTGGGATCAAGATCCACCCTTTCCCACCCTTGGCTGTCATAACACGTCAGCAACATGGGATACAGAGGATCTCCTTTGGCATATCCCTGATATATGGAATCATAGAAACATGAAGGTTGGAAAAGAACACAAATTCAAGTCCAGCTGTTAACCCAGCACCACCATGTTCACACTAAACTGTGTCCTCAGCTGCCACATCCCCACATTTGAACACTTCCAGGGATGGTGATTTCACAGCTGCCCAAGGCAGCCTCTTCCAGTACCTGACCACCCTTGCAGTGAAGAATTTTTTCCTAATATTCAATCTAATTTTTCCCTGGTGTAACCTGAGGACATTTGCTTTTGTCCTGTCACTTGTTATGTGGGAGAAGAGCCTGAGCCCCACCTCACTACAGCCTCCTTTCAGGGAGTTGTAGAGAGTGATAAGTTCCTGAGCCTCCTTTCCTCCAGGCTAAACACCTCTAGTCCACTCATCCCCTCCTTGTAAAATTTGTGCTCCAGACCATTCCCCAGCTCCACTTCCCTTCTCTGGACTTACCCCAGCACCTCAATACCTCTGTTGTTAGGGGCTTAAACTGAGTCCTGGATTCAAGGTGTGATTCACCAGGACTGAGTGTAGGGGACAATCACTGCCCTCATCCTCTATATGGGGCACATCCCCTTCCTGTGGGTGCTGGAAGGATTTGGAACAACTTAAGTGCTGTGTGCTGGATGAAGCCTTGCTGTTTGAGTGAGATCCCACATCTCAGCAGGGCCAGGGGCGAGGAGCTGCCCTTATGGGCAGTAGCATCTGAGCCAGGGGACGTTGCTCACAAATCCACCTCTACCCACTGTGGATAGCCAGAGGGTAGGGTAAGGATAGGACAGTCCCAGAAGGATCATTTTAAAAAGAAGAATGAGGTCACATTACTGAGGATGAGATCAAGGAATAAAATAAGCATGTAGGGCACAAAGGTTTCCATGCTAAATGAATTACAACCAGTGTGGAGTGTTAGGATACAAGGAGAAAGGTGCTATAAATACAGTAAAGTAAGAGAAAGACAGCAGCAGGCATAAGCCCATTACCTAATGAGGAACAGGAGTGGTACAGATGACCTAGAGAAGGCAGACATATTTAATGCTGTTTGCCTCACTTTTCTCCAGCAAAAAACCCCAAATGCTTCACAGTGATATAAAGCTGGCAAGACACGAGACAGAAGAGAAAAAGAGCAAACAAGGGACATTGGGATTAAACTGAATATATTCACCAGAGGGTACAAAGGAAAGATACCAGATCAGGGAGGGGATTCTGCTCCTCTTCTGAAACCCCAGCTGCAGAGCTGCATCCAGCTCTGGGATCCCCAGCATAAGAAGGACATGGACCTGCTGGAGTCCAAAAGAAGCCACGAGAATGCTCAGGGGGCTGTAGCACCTCTCCAGTGAAAACAGGCTGAAGGAGTTGGAGAAGAGAAGAGAGAAAGAAGAGAGAAGAGGAGGCTTCAGGGAAACCTTAGAGCAGCCTGCCAGTACCTAAAGGGCTACAGAGAACTGAAGAGGGACTCCACAAGTTTTTGTGTTGATAGGACAAGGGGGAATGGCTTTCAATTGAAAAATGGTAGACACAGATTTAGTTTAGCTGCTAGGAAGAAATTCTTTACTGTGAATATGGTGAGGCACAGGCTGCCCTGAGATGTTGTGGATGCTTCATCCCTGGAGATGTTCAGGGCCAGGTTGGGTGGGGCTTTTAAAAACCTGGTGCAGTGAAAGGTGCTCCTGCCCATGGCAGGGAGGTTGGAATAATAGTTAATGTCCCTTCCATCCCCAAAAATGTAATTTGCATCCCATATCATATGGGCAAAAAATGAGATTTTTGTCTGCTCTGGCCATAAACTGTTTGAATTTGCAAACAGGATCATCACTGGATATTTAAATGCCCCCAAGTGCAATTAATAGGGATGGGAGTCCCCACACAGGAGCTGCTGGATGCATTCATGTGGAGGATATTATGGGATGCCTCCAGTCTGCCACTGTGAGCTGTACAGGGAAGGAGAGGAGGATAAGCCAATTAGATTTACCTTGCTTTTATGTGTGGTAGGTGTTTCAAAATACCAAAAAAGTAAAAGAAGGCTGGAAGTCATTGATGACTTAGTGGGAAGGATTTTGCTAGTGGGTTTGGGTGAGATAAAAGCAGGGAGAGGTTGAGGGTGAGATAAAAGCAGGTTTATCAAGGTTGTTGAAGACAAAGGAAAAGGAGATGAGTTTCAGAATTCCCAATTTCTAGTACTTATTCCTACTTAGTACCTACTAATCCTACCACGAGCCCTCAATTTGCAGGTTAAAAAAGTTCAAAACCTTCTTAGATAACTTCCAAGGGCAGAGTGATTTTTGGGGATTATGCCATGGGAGATACACACCACAGAAAGACAAGAACCTGGCCATTCAATCCTGTGTAGCATTAACGTGTACATGACACCTTGTGCATGTGACAGCAAATATGAGTTTCATGTGTTGCAGAAGCCTTGGTGTATGATCAGAACCTGATGTATTCACCTCATGGACTGGTGTTTCTCTTCTATTTATGTGGTCTAAGAAAGGGAAAAGAGAGAAGCATGCCTTCAGGGGCAGTGACCCTTTCTTTATTCAAACCTGAACAGAAGGAGGGTTTTTACTTCCAAGAACTCATTTTTTCTTTCTTCTTGCCACACAATGAGGACACTGAAAGAATAGGTCCTTCAAGCTAACAAGGTTGATCATCAAAGAAACTTCTGTGCTTTCTGACTCCTATGGCTGTGGAAAAGATTTAGTGCTTTCCTGAGCCAGCCTTTGGAAGCAGAAGTTATGAAAGCTCAATTTAAATTTTAAAACTGTCTATGCACAGACATTTTCTGCTCTTCCCCTAAACAACACAGCATGGACCTCTGTATGCCTCCATCTCCTGAAGAGCCAAATAATGCCCAGTTTTCCCATATGATTGCAGCAGATGCCTTCTGCAGTCAATAGTGGGCCCAAGGTTAATGTTTTACATTGAGGGGAGCTAGAAATACAATGGCAGTAAATTATAGTCATTATGATGGTAGGTTAAAAGCAGTGTTGCTGCAGGAGGCCCTGCTGGGAATGCTCTGCTGGGGGGGTGTTAAGTAGAACAGCCTGATGGAAAGGACAGGATGAAGAAATATAAATAACTGTACACAGGAGGATGGGATGTGCTCCAGAGGAAAGAGCAGTGTGAGGGTAGAGCTGGGCTTTGAATGACATTAATGTGAAGGTTTTATGCCCATTTGTATTTTACAGGTGTAACATGGTGGTGAGAGCAAGGAGAAAAGCTGTTTGGAGATCTCCTGGTCCGTACTCTCCCATCTCTGTGTGAGGTCTGCTGGTCCTGCTTTCCCATCTCTGGGTAAGGTGGCTCTGTTGTGGCACTGATGTACTTTGTCCTGTCTTGAAAATGTAGAGAATAGTGGTAAGAACCAGGTAAAAATACTTGTGTGACATTGTGTTGTATTCATCAAAAACAGCTCTTCCTAGGTTCCTTTGTGGATTAGCTGCATCACAGAAAAAGTGAATCCAGAATGCCAGAGCCATCTGCTTGGACACCAGTGGAAAAGCTACCAGGAGTTAAAATTAACAAATTTAGGAAGAGTATAGTCGAGAACAGCTTTAAATAAGTTTTCTTTCTGTGCCCAGCCTAATTTCTTGCTGTCCAGGAGTACCACTGCTGTGTGAATCACATAGCTGGGCTCCTAGTGCTTCTGCAAACAGCAGCCTGGTCATCGACCACCTTATGCTCAGCTACATAAAGTGCAAATCAGCAGCCTCTTGTCTGGAGCAACAGTGCTGTCAAATGATGAAACAGTGAGTGCAAAATGCGTGATGTAGCTGCAGTTGCTGTTGCAGATCCAGGAGATACGTTGCTGATGTCCCCAGAGGGTCAGCAGCATACAACTGGTGTGAGAAGAAAACAAGTTCTGTCAGCCTTGCTGGTCATACTTATTTGCCAGTTTTAATGTTTAAAGTGTAGTCTGTGCTAAGATCCTGACTTTTGGCAATGCCACTGGAAGAAACAAGGGGAAGTAGGTTGGCATCTGGCTGTTGCAGTGCCCACTCTGACTGCAGCACCCAATACCCCACCACCCCTACTCTGCCAAGTGCAGTGCAGAGCTGTGCCTAGGCAAGGCAGCACGTTGGCACCCCAGGGATGTGTCCAAGACACCAGGCAGAGTCTGGTGTGAGCCAGGCTTTGTAGTGACCCCCTGCCCCAGGGCTGTGTACCCCAGCTATTCTTTTCCTCTTCTCCTGGGCCATATTTCACAGGTTCATCTTCCCCCTTACACGCAGTGTCTCTGACCCATGGAGAGAAAGGATGGAGCTGACCTCAGATAGGAGCCATCTCCCCACTGATGACCTGTGACCACTGACCCCAGCTGAGTTTCCCATACTTCTGGGCCTTCTGAAGAGCCCAGCTCCTCCCACAGCTGCTGACATAGCAACAGAGCAAAGCAGAGGGTCTGCAGGGGCCGTCAGCGCTGTGTGGAGATGGAACTAATGACTTTGGATGGGCACTGAGCAGCAGATCTGGGGGGGCTGCAGTGACACATGCACCTCCTGCAAAAGGTCAGTGCTGCACAGGGCTTGACCCCACATTCCTGGTGCATCCCTGACTCCCGCTGCAGTCACCCAGACCTATTCTGTGGCACCATTCACTTACAAGATTTATGTGCTTCGGGCAGTGGGAGGAGAGCTTGATTTCATTTCCAGCATGGTTTTTTGCTTTCCACATTCACATTAATGATAAGAGACGTGGATTCAGCTCGAGTAGCCAGGGAAACAGCTCAAGCCTGACTCTGCTCCCAAGCAGATGTGAACCACTGGCTTATTCTTTAACGAAGCTGTTGACAACAAGTGGTCTAATGAGGGGGAGCTAGGCAATTGATTTTGGATAACATTTTAAAACTGCAGACTCAGCTCAACAATTTATGACCCCAGTGGTGGCTTATTGCTTTGGCAGAGTTAAGTGGATTGAGTGGCCATAAACTTCCACCAGTTCCTTGTTACCATGATCCATGCTTAATGCTGTTATTGATCATGATCTATCATTTTCTGAAAACAAAAGTTCTCTTAAGAAAAGAAAAAAAAAAGCCCCTGCAGCACTGGATGTGATGAAGAAAGGTGTTCCATCGCATGAACATGCAGTTTTGCTTCAGGGAATTCTGGTTCTCTTCACACCTGGCCTATTTTTGGGTAATGCTGAGTTGATACTCAGCTTATTGAGCTCAGCATGTTATGCAGTTTATTGTGCTTCATTTCTCCTGCAGAAGAAACAGGAGGTGCTGGGCACTGGATGAGCATGAGCCTGCACTTTTAATCCAGGAATTATTTGGAGAGAGTTGAATATGCCTGAAAGACATGAAACAAGGGTGTGAGCGTGAGAACACAAGGGAGTCATGTGAGAGGTGCAGCGAGAGTCATTCCAGGGCAACCTGTGGTTCAAATCCTTCTTTTCTGAACCTGGATTGATCCAAACTCAACCCTTCTTTCAGCTGACTTCAAGTTAAGTCCTTTATTCTAGAAAAGGTGGGATCTTTAGCACCACTAAGAGGAACAAAAGGAGAAAACCTCTTTGGCAAATGACAAGTCACCCCGCTTTCCTGCCTGAGTTCTTCCTGTGTGTAAAATAAGGATGATAAAACCCCGCTGCTTCAACATGTTGTGAAGATTAATGGATTAAACAGGTCTGATCCTGCATGAATTGAAGGTTGCCTTTTGCCAAGTGTGTTGGACATGGCAACTCTACTTGCTGGTGGTAAAGATCCAGTCATTAATTCTTAATTATTATTCTTCTTAGTGAGGTTCTTCTAAGTATCTCCCAGGATTCACTCCGTGGTCCCTAGGACTGGGCAGAACAAATGTAGTCCATCCTTTCTGCCACGTGAAAACTGTTGGTACTTGAAACCTTTTGCTGTGTGAATCGTTTTCACCACTCTACACCAGCTATAAGGTCTTTGGCAAAGGACGTTGCTGTGTCCACACTTTCAGAACATCTCCTGGGGAGGCTGGTCCTTCCTCAGTGCCTCCCAAAACAACAAATTATTCTGCCCAGAGCAACCCATGTGACCCAGCAGGATGCAGGCAGGGAGGAAGGGCAGGTGGATCAGCACTGGGGTAGAAAGTCATGGGTCACATGCAGAGTGTGACACCTCACACTCTGAAGCCAAAATAAACAGCCCAAGGAGAAACAGGGTGGGCTGTGAATGAACTGAATCAATAAAAGTGATCTTCAGCTGTGGTGAATGAAGAAATCTTGTGAAATCTGTGCCTCTGTGCAATAACTTTCCTGGCTAACCCTGCCCCAGCAATGACTCCAGAAATCTGGTTTCCTGGGAGCTTGTGTTGCAGTCAGCTCTGCTGCCTGCTGCAGAGCCCAAGATGAGAGTGTTCACACCTCCCAGAGCAAGGGATTATCCAGAGACACACCAGGAACTGACTGCCACACTAAATCGTATCTGCTGGAAAATGGCAGCATGGCTATTTTTGGGGTGACTCGTACAACTCTCCAAGTTTTGGTGTATTTTGATTTTAAAGTGCTTGGCATCACTGAGGCAGGATGTTTTGGATTAACAATTATGCAACTCAAGTGCTGAAGCTAAGGGCCTGCTAAAGTAAGCGAGAACTTTGCTTTGAAGTTTATTGGAAAAAGAGCCAAGTCTATAGGATCTAAGGAAATAGTCCTGCAAAACTGGTTTACTTTGAGAAGAAACAATAAAATCAATGAGGCTTTTCAGAGATCTTGGCAAATCTTGTATTATCTTCTGTTAAAATGCACTTTTCTGTGAGAAAATAAATACACACGAATGGGTCCTTTTCTATTTTGGATATAAAGTGTAATCCTAGTCATCCTCATGTTCAGAAAGGTGTAGGAGAACTGGCACAAAGAAAAGCAAAAAGGACAGAGAAGAAGAGAATAATTTTCATGTGTAGGCTGTGAGCCTTCAGATTGGAAGCGAGGTGGCTGAAGGCAATGAAGACACATAAAATCCTCAGCAGTGTGGAGAAGGTGAATACAACCCAAAAAGTCAAGGGCACCCAGTCAAATTATCAGGTTTAAAAATAAGTTCTACGAAAGCTCTAATTTTTCACCCGGTGGAATTGTGAAAATCATTGCTAGGGATGATGTGGAGGCCAAAATTATAAATGAGTTCAAAAAGGCATTTTCAAGGAGGAAGAGTCCAAGAACAGTTATTAAATAAAGTGTTCTTCCAGCTTGGTAAATCCCTGGCTGACTGCACTTTTTGGGGGTATATCATGGAAACATTTGACCTACATATGTTGTGTTTTCTTTCTCTCAGGCACTGATAGGACTAGGTAGGGCATTGCCCTCACTTGAGGTGGTCCCTTGTAGTGTTATTCTGCAGTTTTGCCCAGAAATATCTGTGTAAAATGAGAAATGCATGATTATATATATTTTAATCTAAAGTTAATGCCCCGATTTTCACTACTTAGACCAGCTTCTTCTTTACACAGATATTCAGGGCCGATTTCACAACTTCAGCAGAAGCAGGGCTCCCATATCTCATTAGCAGTGCCCTTCTCTGCCTCCCAAAGAGATATGCAAAATTAAGATCCCTTTTCCAGTACACCCTCTAGAAATGTGAGTAGTTTCTTCTTTGAAAGAACCAGGTGTGATTGTCAGTGCCCCTCTGAGCTATGACCTACAGTTATCCAGGGGATTTTCAGATGTGCTGCTCCATTCTGCTACTCTCTCCTTGGTTTTTAGGTCAGGGAGCTCAACTCTGAACACATGCCTACCTCATTCCTTGAAGATCTGAAACCTTTAATGAGTAGGCCAGATCTTCATCTTGTGAACTGGCAGAGTTCCACTGCCTGCAGGAAAGCTGCAGTGCTTTATAAAGTATTTCCAAGTACCTTTGCATCCACCTCAACCATTTCCTGGAGTTACTATTTGCAAACGTAGCCAACATCTGTTGAAAAAATGATATTAAACAGCTTCAGGTTAGCATATTTACCAGTGAAAACCTCATTTTGCATGGGGGAAGCAGGTATCCTTCAAAATTATTTTCTTCTGCCAGTTATCTTAAACCTGGAGTGAGAGATGGTTTTTCTTCAGCTGTTTCAGATGTTTGCTATCTGACCTTTTGAAGTTGTGCTTCTTTATCTTCTTCAGTGTTATATTCTCTTGGAGCTGTTTCTGATACCTAAGGCACTTGCAATATTTTTTCTTTCTCCTTACCTTTTTGACAAAGTCTAGGTAGACTGTTGCAACTGAGCCTCTTTGAAGCTAAGGATTTAGCAAGGTTCAAGTAGGAATTGGACATTTTATATTGAGAGCAAGTGCAGGGTGAACTATAACTCCAAAGCTAACAAAACTAGAGGCTTGGAAATATTATCAGACCTCATTCTTCAGGGTTTAAGTGTTTCAGTATAAAGATTTAGGATGAAATTGTCCTGGCAGGCAGATTATCCCACAGCTGCACAAATTTTCTCTGAAGCATCTGATGCTGGCTTACATGTTAAAAAATGTCCTGCATGGATGTGCATTAGGTCTGATCCAGGGTGCCCCTGTTGACTACTGCCCAATCCACTATTTTAAGCCTTTCTGTAGCAGTTTGTGGAAAGCCACAGTGGGACTTTCTTATAATCTGAGACAGACCTCTCTTTTAAAGAAATTGCTTCAAGATTTTGTAGTTGGGATTTTATCTTTTTTCTCCCCGCCCCCCCCCCCCCCCATTCTTTTAGGTTTACTAAAACTCTGCTAGAACAGACACCAGGAAATTTATTATGGTGTGATCTCAGTTAAAAAACCCTTCCCTACCTGGAACTATAATAAAGTTTGCTCATCTTTTGTAAAAGCCAGTACAGACTGGCCTGAGGTAGTTAAAACTGGGACCCAAACACTTGACACTGTTGGTCTGAAATGTAAAGGATACCTGACAATATGAAGGGAAGATCAAACAATATTTTTTCAAGATAGAAAGCCTCCTTTGTATCCAGTTCTGCTTTTAAGACACTCACCTTTATTTTCTCACTTTTCAGATGGAATGAAGATTAACAGAAGGTATTGTAGAGTCTCTATGACTGCAAATTTTGCAGAACAGCTCAGGCAGACAGCATTGGGAATGGTCTAGGCAAATGGATTACCTGATTTCTACTCACAGGACTACTAGTCCTTGGAAAAATATGGTGCCATTGCTTCCAAGGAAAAACAATGACAAATAGAGGCACACTCATTAAATAGATAAATTTTTACATATTATAAAATATTTAATAAACAAAGAAGTATGGCAAGGACAATGGATGTGAATGAGTTGTATTTTTTATATTCTTATTAATTGGATCTGTAATCCTCAGGGAAATGAGCCCAAACCTCTGTGCCACACCTCCTGGTCATCATGTGAGTGACTCCATTGGAGTTTCAGTCTTTGTGGTCCCGTGTGGAGATATTTGTTGTGTAGAGGACTGACTACCAGGACATCTAGCACATGCTGAAATGGACATTTGGGACTTTTATATTTGTAATTAATTCTCTGCTTCTTTGCTAAAGCACTGAAATTGTCATCAGCAGTTCAGAGATCTTCCAGTATAAGGAGAATTTACTG